ACATATTTACTCTCAGTTTCATTGCAATCTCGTTATTGAACAGAACATTCTCTCAACAATGAAATAATCTAGAAAATGCTAACAGTAATTAGGTAATTCAGTTTCCACTGTCTTATTCATTCTCATGAGTCGAATTTGAAATTTCAGAACTAGAAACCATATAAGTACCATTTCTAATTATATTATCAAACACAAATTATTCTCTGCCTCATTATATTATCAAACACTCAATGCATCCAACATCCAATCCGTGAAAGAATACATAAAAAGTTAATTTACGATTATGGCCACTGATAAATAAGGCGATTTATGAGACGGGTTCTACGTGCCGAAATGTAGTGGATCTTTTATGTTTCATTAACAAAGAAAAAAATAGGATATTCTCACGGTTCACAATGGTAGACACCTTCAATGAAAATTATTAATGTCGAGTTTAAAGAAATGTATTGATTTTCGATAATCAGCGACCGCAAAGTAATGGATATAACTGCATTACAGTGATATGTCTATTAAAATTATTAAAACTGGTGTCATGATGAATTAAATTTTGATAATAAAAATGAGATGGAGACTCTCCACAGTTGATATCTACTTTCCAGGAAATAATATTCAAGCTGAAGAATACATCGATATTATTTCCAAGGGAGACACTTGTATCCTGTACACACATTTACTCTCAATTTCATTGCAATCTCGTTATTGAACAGAACATTCTCTTAACAACAAAATAATCTGGAAAATGCTAACAGTTATGAATTCAGTTTCCACTGGCTAATTCATTCTCATGAGTTGCATCAGAAATTTCAGAACAAGAAACCATTTAAGTACCATTTCTCATTATATTATCAAACTCTGCGGTAGAGAATAATTTTAAATACTTTCTTTCCCAAAAATTATTCGCTTCAAAAAAATATAACCCCTTCAATGCTATTATTGTATTGAAAATATTAAGATTCTTACAAAAAAATAAAACAAAACCATCGAAGTGGGAAACTTCAAAATCACATTGAACAAATTGTATATAATACTGCTAATCTAATGGAATTGAGTATTATGTTTCTGTTAATGAATTTTCATGAACTCAGTGGTATCTATTCATTTGAAGAAAATTTTTCATGCATTTGATTCATGAAATTTGTGATAACAAAAATAATATAGGTTATGAAAATTCCTTCAAAATTGTTGAAAATCTTTGAAAAAGCAGACACAACTCAAAAACTGCAATAAGTATCAATAAAATTACTAGAGTTGAAATTATATTGAAATTTCAATATTCAGTATTTACAGATTATTTATAAACACTAATTAGGGCGGTAAAGATGCTTTATCACGTTGAATGAAATTTTAAGTAGGTCTTGACAAACAAAATTCATGCTATGGTTGTGTCAAATCAGTGATTTACTTGTCAAATTCTTAACAGTTATTGTTGCAATAATGTTGCCTCTTCAGGAAAGAATAGAAATAGTTTCAATATGTGGTGAGAATACACCATACCGGCAAGTATCTAATATTTTTAATGAACGGAATCCAGGAAAAAATGTTCAACATACTACTGTGTCAAGGATGATGTTGAAATTCTGAGAAACAGGATCCGTAGCAAATCAATTAAAGAAAAAGCACACTCCAAGTAAATATGATGAGGAGGTCCAACTAAATATTTATTTAAAAGTTATTGAACACGGGCAAACGAGCATAACCGATATTATGAAAAATACCGATTACAAGAGAGAAAGTGTTAGAAAAATTTCATTGAAGAATAAATTTTGGCCTTACAAGCCAAAATTTATTAAATCCCAATTCGACAATTGAATGTCAAAACTAATGTATGGTGTGGGATACTTAACGACCAAATAATTGGGCCATTTTTTTAGGGAAAATTTATCATCCGTCGGTTATCTCAACCTTTTAAATAATGAGGTTAGTTAAGTTTTAGATAATATGCCTTCAAATATTAAATATAACCTATGGTATCAGCTTGATGGCGCACCAATACATCACACGGTTGCTGTAAAACAGTTCATCCAACGAATGTTCAGAGGCAAAGTTATTGAACGTAACTGGGAACATTATTGGCCACCTAGATCACCCGATTTTACGCCTTCAGACTTTTTCTTGTGAGGTTACCTGAAACAAAAAGTTTACCGAAGTAGACCATTTACTGGCATACAACATCTGGAAAATACCATTCGCGAGTGCTTTGCAAATATAAATCCCCGATTTATTAAAAATGCAGTTACAGATGTCAGTAGAAGGACCATNGTTCAAACAATTGGAAGCGGATAAATGCGTTTTTTATGGGAAAATGGAAAACGTAGATATATTTTTGGCATTGTACGTTGATGATGGACTAGTTCTGTGTGAATCAGTTCAGTTAATATATATTTTATTGAAAAACTGGCAGCCAAATAAATAAAAGGTATCTCCTGTTAGAAATGGTTGATTTTCAGTCATTACGTAACTTAATTTTTCTCTTTCGATTGCGAACGAAAATTCATACTAACTTTGATGCTTGGCATGGCTTATTGTTACTCAGACATTTTATCAATACCACCAAAAGCTCAGACGAAACGATCAATCGGAACCTGAATAGACGAAACGGGTTATATCATAAAATTGAAAATGCTGGATTTGAATTTAGCGAAATTCACATTAGCAGGATTCACGTTATTAGGTTTACCTGATCAATATGAGCACTTAGCAAGGAATTTGAGAGCCGATGAAGATGACCTGAATATGAGCAATTTGAAGTCAAAACTGATGGAAGAAGAAAGACGAATCGAAAGTAAGCTGAATTAAGAAAAAGATGAAGTTATAGCATTTGTGACGCAAATGACACAGATAATCTTTAAAAGTGGAAATTTCAAACCTACACGTGAAAAGCCATTCAACACAGCAGGCTCGAACCGGGATAGAGAAAATACTTTTGATACCACAAAACCCAGTTATTTATACAAACGTTTGACGTACTATAGATGTCTGGGGATAGGTCACATTGAGAACAATTGTCCTTTGGAGTGGCAGAGAGAACCAATCAAACATTGTTCGACGCAGCACGATGTATGATGATTGAATCAGGTTTACATGGTAATAAGGATAAGGCGACTTTGAGGTAGTGTTTTGGGTTTGACTTTGAATGACTTTCATTCACACTTCATATTTCACACTTCATTTTTCGAACAATGTTCAAAGTCGAATAACCTTGGGGGTTGACCTTGAGAATTTAGAATCGGGTCAAATTAACATTGAAATGACCTCTACATACGTCACATGATGTCGACAAGGTGACTTTGAAGAAGTCTTTTGAGTTCGACTTTGAACGAGCTTTATCTACGTCACACCCTTGAACTATGTCAGAAGGTGATACGGTTAAAAGTAGTTTCTCCGTGTTGATATAACTATTTTAAAAAACATTACACATATTAGATACATTCAAAAATAAAATAAAAAAATTGCAACAAAAGGGGTGAATTGTAAAAAAAGGGGGTAAATTATCTAGCTATTCTACTTATCAATCAATCAAAATATGTGGTATTCAGGCCATCAACATCTTTTCTGGTGTTAACACTATCGCATCTGAGGATATATCTCATTTTACTCAAGAGTCTTTTTGATAAATATGGTTGAACATCTAGAACAGCTGAATGATCATAATAAAAAATATGTGCATATTATTTTTCGCGCTCGATCAGGGCTGTGGCTTTTTTTTAAATTCAGTTTCTTAGAGTCTCTCATGTGTTCTGAAACTCGTGTTCTATGATATCATCCAGTTTGACCAACAGCATTTGTGACAGCTTCCACAGTTCAATTCGTACACTACATTAGATTGCATGTCTTGGGGTGTTTTTTGTTTGTTTTGTTTAAGAAAAATGCTTCCCAACTGTATTTTCATTAGAGAAGATTGGTAATGACTATCACTCCAAGTTTATGAGATGAATTTCCTATGAATGGAATTTTGTGATATTTGGGTTTCACCCCAGTATTTTGGGAAGAGGAACTTCTTTCTGACATTATTTTTCTAATGAGGGTTTTAGAAAAATTATTTTTTACTAGGTAATTCTCAATCAATTTGGGATTTTTGTTATGGAAATCAGAATTGGAAATGGCAGTTGCTCTAGATTTCAAATTCCTTATAATGTTGATTTTACTGTGGAAGTTATGTTTTGAAAAATAATTCAAAAATCTCTCAGAGAAAGTTGGTTTATGATAGCAGTCTATCTTTGAAATTCTCTTTCAGGGCTCTGTACCAATGTATTTTCATAAACATCATCTTTTCTAGTGTTAACACTATCGCATTTGAGGATATATATCATTTTGCTCAAGAGTCTTTCTGATAAATATGGTTGAACATCTAGAACAGCTGGAAGTTCAAAATCAAAAATGTGTGCATATTCTTTTTCATATTCAATCAGGGCTGTGGGTTTTTTAACATTTAGTTTCTTAGAGTCTCTCTTGTGTTCTCAAACTCGTGTTTATGATACCGTCCAGTTTGACCAACATAACATTTGTGACACCTTCCACAGTTCAATTTGTACACTTCATTAGATTGCATGTCTTGGGGTGTTTTTATTTGTTTGTTTACTTTTTATGCATATATTTTGTAGTTCTGCCATGACCAAATCTGCACAAATGGTTGATATACAATTACCCATTACCAACCCGAAAAATTTGTTTGTAGATAGTTCCATTGTAACAAAAGTAATTGGAGTCTATACATTCATGTCACTTTGCGTTGGTGTTTTGTAGAAGTTTTTGCAATTTTTTTTATTTTTTTCAATGTATGTCTAATGGTTTTCAAAATAGTTATATCAACACGGAGAAACTACTTTTTGGTGAGTAATACAAACGATACTTAGTATAAGTTTTTGTGGGAGGTATGTTTATGAAACTACATTGTTACAGTGCCCTGAAGAAGAATTTATTTAAATTCGAAACGTTGGCAAGAAAACAATTGTTTCTTCGAAAAAAACTTGATCCTTTTACCCAACCAATCATTCTTCAGATATATTATTAATGTCTATTATTATATTCCATTCTAATTATTTTGTGAATTTCCAGTTTGGAGTATGTCTCTTTTCACTGATACCGGTAAATCTGAGAAGGGTAAGGTGAATATCCTGCAAGACGTGGTGTTGGTGCAGGGATCAGAGCTACCAGAGAATATCGTGGACTTCCTAACGGAATTCCATGTAGAACTCCCACTCAGCCCCCTTCCTGGAGAACCTGTGATGGTGACAACTCCAAGACCTGGATGTAGCAGAATGGAGGATGTTCGTTCAACCACCCCCTCTTCTGAAACGAGCAGCACCAGCAAAGACGCGGAGAAGGGTTCGAAGAGGGCCAACAAGAGAGAGGCAGCGAACGGTAGCGATAATGAGTTTGCTGCCCCCCAATCGAATAAGAAAAGAGTGTCCGCCGCTAAGTCGAAGCAGGTGGAGCCGAAGGTGAAACCAAAGCAGTCGGAGCTGCGGAAATATATGAAAATATGGGATGAGACGAATCCTTATCGGCAGCCGCCGATGACCTCGACCCTGTGGCGAGCCCCTTCTACGTTGGATACCACCGTTTCAAAGTCCGAGACGGTCAATACGAAAAATCAGCCACCGACGGCATCGCAGATGCCATCCACTGCATTAAACATTGAGCCAACCACCACCACGACATCTTCAGAGACCACAACCGGGCCGCATAACCTACCNGTCGAACTCAAAAGACTTCTTCAAAGTCACCTTGTCGACATCATGTGACGTATGTAGAGGTCATTTCAATGTTGATGTGACCGAGACAGACTAAAAATCTCAAGGTCAACCCCCAAGGTTATGCGACTTTGAACATTGTTCGAAATAGCTGTGAAAATATGAAGTGTGAATGAAAGTCATTCAAAGTCAAACCCAAAACACTACCTCAAAGTTGCCTTATCCTCATTACCTTGTGACGTACGTTAAGGATGTGACGTAGATCAAGGTCGATCAAGGTCGAAGCCATCGATGCGTCGAAAACAGGCGCTCCCCCACCACCTCCACCAATTCCAACTCGATGTGTTGACAGAAGGCGATACAAGCAAACAGTGGTCGTTGAAACTTCACGGAGTGCAGACGTGTACGCTCTCTGTCACGATGGGTACTGTCCAAACTGGTGAAGAAGTACCGCTCATCAGTCGATGGATCTTCGTGATATGCAGACGTGTGTTTATTCTGTACATACAGGTACAGAGTACACATGAAGGACAATATCAAACCCTGACTTCACCATGTATGCAATCTAGTTCCCTAATCTCAAAGTTGAATTCCATGTTCAAGGTCATGTTTCATGAACATAACTGAAGGATGTAAACCCTGTACCGTGCATTCCCAAACACCAACCAAATGTTATTACGTCACTTTGTATCACACACACACACACAAAATCTCATATGAAAAAAAAAATCTGAACGATCCATGCACCAGACACTTCAAGGTCACATCGCCTTGATGTTACTAAACAATAAAAAAAGCAATTAATACGTCATAATGGTGAGGGGAGGCCCAGAACCGGCTGTAATCTACTACTCATGCTATGTTAGAAATCGCTGTGCAACAATTGCTAATCAGGGACAAAACCCGATACAAAAATGGAAACCGATGATATCCATTGATAAATCTCATTTACGGGTGTTTGGATGCAGAGCTTGGGCAGTGAACAAAACAAAAACAAGTAAATTCACCCCTAAAGGTATAAACTGCATATTTTTTGGCTATGATAGCAATTCTGAAACATAGAGACTGTGGAATACAAGAAAGGAAAAATCTTCATTAGCAGAGAAGTTAAATTTGAAAAAGACGTTTTCCAACGTTGCATAATAAACCAGATATTCCGAAAAATGCAAAAAATTGGTGGAGAAGAGGTTCGTAATATTAATATGAAGACGAATATTTTTGGTTTTGAAACAAATGGAGAAATATATTTACTCATTAGACTTAGCAGTGATCTGGAGGAGATGACTGAAGTAGAAGAAGAACGAATTTTGATCGACAATACACCACAAACTATAAACATGGACAACGCAAACAAAAAAAAATGAGAGAAAAAATGAAGAAAAATCTACTAAATCGTGTAGAATATCAAAAAAGCCTAATTGGATGCCAGATTACATAATCGACAAAGCACCATGTACATCAAAATTTTGTAATTAATCCAAAAATCTAGAACATGGAAGAAACACACTATAATTCAGTCATTATAACAGAGGCATTAACTGGAAATAAATGATTGAATTGGCAAGATGCTATTGTGCAAGAATTTGATAAAGAAAAATCAGTTTTTTATTGACCTTTTTTGGGTATTTGTTACCTTCCACAATCTGAAAAATATAAAAATATAACTGCGAATATATTCGAATTTTTTATCCATTCCTGAAGACGGAGGCAGATTTTGGCCTCCGAAACGTAAAAGATAAGTATTATTTCTAAATAATATTTTTGATAGGCAAAATTGTTAAATAAGACAAGTTACTGATAAATAGAAGATTTTTCTTTGTGAAAAATACTTTGATTTTTACGCAGTAACTTATCGGGGTTAACTTAAAAGTTTGCCCTTCTACCAAAAAAATTTCGATAAAAACTTGATAATCTCATTAGAAACAATACATGAAATTTGGTAAAGCGGAAAGATTTTTTGAAACAAAGTATAATGAGAATGGACGGAAAAAAAATTTAAGGCCAGGGTTGTTGCACTCGGAAATACTTTAAGGCGTGGAATTGATTTCGAACAAATCACCACTTGTTCAAAAGAAAACTACAAGGATGCTGTTTGCCATTACCACTGAGATGAGTTGGTTGATACATCAAATGGAGATCACTGCTGCATATTTATCTGCTCATTTGAAAGAAACGATATTCATGGAAATTCCAGAGGGATTCAATAGTGTACAAAATATATTGATGAAGAAATTTCAAACTAAAGTTTTGAAATATAGAAAAGAAAACGAGTTTGTTTGTAAACTGAATGAAAGTATATATGGATTACATCAGTCGGGATTGATGTAGAAAGATCTATTGCTGATCCATGCGTTGATTTCAAAAGTAACGAAGAAGTTATAATCACCATTTACGTAGATGATATACTGATTTTTGAAATCAGACATGGAATAAACAAATTAAAGTTCAGTTTCAAACAAAATTTTGATACCAAAGACTTGAAGGAAGTGAGAAGTATTTTATCAGTCATAGTTACGAGAGCTGAATAAAAAAAGATTAGACCAGTCATTATATCCATCGAACTTTTGAGAAAAATAAAGATGTTGGAAGCGAAGAAGGTATCGACTCCTCTACCCGTAGGAGAAAAATTTGAAATTGATGACGATGAAACTTTGACTGGAGAAGATGAAAAATCATATCAGATAATTGTTGGAAGTGTTTTATATTTGACGGTTTCGACAAGACTGGATTTAGCATTTATCACTAAATTTTTGAGTCATTTCAATCATAGGCCCTCAAGCACCATTGGAATGGTATGAAACATATTCTTCGATATCTGAATGGGACAAAAAACTATGGATTAGAATATTCCAAAACTGGAAAAATTATTATGGAAGCCTGAAGTGACAAAGATTGGGGATCTAATGAAACAGACAGAAAGTCCTACAGTAGCTAGTTTTTCAAAATTGGAGGAGGAGCTGTGAGTTAGTCCAGCCGTAAAGCAACACTGTGTTGCACTGAGTACTGTAGAATCAGAATTTATCGCCTAGAGCGAAACAGCCAAAGAACTGATTTTGAAGAAATTGGCTCATGAAATATCCAAGGAACAATTTTTTTAGGATTGTTTTCCTATTTTTATCGACAATCAAGGTGCCAATAAACTCGCCGAAAACAATATAATTTTCGAAAGGTCGAAACACATTGATTTGTGTATGTTTCACATCAGATATTTGGTAGAAGAAAAAACAAAATAGTTTTGAAATATTTTTGGGAAAGAAAGTTCTTGGTTCTCTACTACTCCATCTTGATACAAAAGAATGTGGGAATCTTCCAAAGAAAGGAAGGAAGTAATCAATTTGAAAATGAGTAACTCTATACATGGATGTGTAGATCATGCAAAGAAGCAACTTTCAGACACAAACTGGAAGAAAGCCCTCCTAAAACATCCACTTTCAAATAAACATTGAATTACACAAAAGAAAAAATTCTTTCGGAACAAATACTTTCACATGAACACTGAATTATACAGAAGATACTTTTCTCTACTCAGCTTATATTCCAAACAATCGTTATGGAATGAAATTCAGATATCATTCATAAATATGAAATTCGAATAAGGAACACCTATCTGCATTCACATATATTATATACATGACGATACTAATTTACAACTCTCTGCCGGAGATCTATTGGATAGATGTGAACAGAGTAAATTCGTTGAAATTATGAGCACAAATGCACATCGAACAGTAGTTACTGACGATGGCACCTGTGTAGTAGTATTTTCTTTCCTTGTTTTGTCTTGTTTTAATATATTTTCTGAATTTATAATATATTTTGTCACAAACAAGCTATAGATCCCTATGACTTCCATAGCTCCTTGCCAATTTATTTTTTATTTCACTATATATGTAATTGGCATCAATGTATACGAAAATAAACATTACAATTATTACTCATATACGTATTACATACGTACATACGTACAAATGGGGCGATATCTTTCAAGATTCGTTTCAGTTTCACTGTTTTTCACTGTTGATTTCTATAATGGAGCTGTTTTTTTTAACGAGTACAATCATCGCTTCTGTCATGTGATATTATTCTGCTTTTCTCTAATATCACGGGTACGTGAAAGATTTTCATTCCATAACTTCACTGCATTCGTTCCATTTCTTGGTGGCGAAATGATTTGATATTCATTATAATAATATTTGATGTTCCATTTCATATATATGTGATTGGCTATTTTCTGAGTGCCCACTGTGTCATAAAACGATCTTTCATATATATTGAATGTTAAATGCGGATAGAATATTGATTTGGAGCCTGAATAAAATTAGAGAATCAATATTTTTATAGGCATTCAACTTGCCCTTGGCTTACTGAGGAACTCAAAAGTGAAACTGGTATGGGAATGCCGCGAGCAACATAATTGAAAGCAATAGACTGACCTAATACCGGGTGTCAGGATACTCAAGAATCATAAGCTATGACAAAGCTCACGAAAGTGTCTGGACAGATATCATCAAATACACATTAAAGACCAGAACACTGAAGTATAACGAAGATCCAAAGTGAAAAAAATAATAAGACAGGCATATAAACAGATAATCCATAATAATTCTCATGCGCATTCGAAACATTAAACGTCTCAAAATACAGAAAACTATAATACAAATGGTCAGCGCCATTCTTTCCGATGGATTCTTTAATAACCAGCATTGAAGATAACTTCTTCTGTTCGAAGTTTTTTCAGAAAAATAATCAACTGTTTCTCACTGATTAGTTGAAGCTCTACTGTTAAGTTATCAGGTTGTTCGAAAATTCGTATGACATTCATACACTCATTCGAATTGATCTAATTCATCAAAAGTTATCCGAAACTAGTAGATGATCTCAATGCGGAAAACCACACATTTCTCATCAGTTGCTCATACGAGCTTTTCTCTGAGTAATTGCAAGGGAGAAATAATGACTTAATTGATGAGGAACTGTTTTGCCAGCTCTATTCACAGTAATT